ATGAGGCTTTCCCCATCATGGAGCAGCCTGATGGTGGTTTGTGGTGTGGTTGTCTTAGCATAAGAAATATCAGTGAGAGATTTCCAGCTGAGTTGAGGGGAAGTCTGTCTCTGTGTCATCGGTGCATAGTGCATGGAGTGCACAGAAGCCAGGCTGCTGAGAGGAGCGGTGCCCAGGCAAGAGAAGGAGTGACATCCGCTAAAGAAACCATGAGCTTTTTCCTGATCATTCCTTATGTCTTTGCTCTGCACAGCCCTCATCCCAGCCCAGCTCTCCTGCTGCCCCCTCCCCTTCCCAGATGGACCTGGAGCAACAACAGCAGCAGCAGCAGCAGCAGCAGCAGCAGCAGAAGCAGCAGAAGCAGCAGAAGCAGCAGAAGCAGCAGCATACATCGCTTTTTGGACCTCCTCCACCACCTCTCCCTGTCCCCTCAGTCCCACTGAAACAGCCACCAGGCTATGAAGAGGCCATGAAGCAGCAGCCAAAGACCCAGGTGAGAACAGGAGGAAAGGTGCTGCTGTAATTCCACTTAGATTCCTGACCTGGGCCACTGAAGGAGAACAGAGGCAAAACAACCCCTTCTGAACCTTCCTATCCAAATTCCTTCTTGAAATTCATTCTGGAGGGCCTGGGGAAGATCCTATGCCCAGGAAAAGATCCCAAACTGCTCAGTGCCCAGTGGGTGTTAGAGCAGTTGCTGGCTGCACCTTTGCCTCCAGTAGCAGCCTGGGATCATGGAGGAGTCTTGTGCCATGGGTCTGTGTGCTTGTCCATGCAGTGACAGCCCTGTTACTGGGATGAGGGAGGACAGCCAGCAGCCAAGTGTCTTGCTGGAGGGAAGCTCCCCTGTAATAGGAAGCTAATCCTGTGCTTGCTCTCTCCAGGAGAATGGCTGTTCCAGCCAGCAGATGGATGACTTGTTTGACATTCTCATAGAAAGTGGAGGTAAGGAGACAAACCTGCATTTCCCAGCCAGTGGGTTTGACCCGGGGATTATAGAGCACTGAGGGGAGCATGTGTAGTCATGACGAAGGTCTTTACTTCTGTGTCCCTAGCAGTCATTAAAGCACCAAGGGAGATGTCAGATGGGCATTAATAGGATTGAAAAGCTGCTTGGTTGCTGTGCTGCATCAGCTCTGGGCACGTCTGTGCTCTGAGCCAATGCTTGGGTTCCCTGTGGGCAGACCACAAACTCCCTTCAGGCAGCAGAACGCAGGCATGGGCAGATTCCTTATCCCTGTCTGTGCTCAGTGATGGTTCGATCCTGGGGGGGTCCAGGTTGCCATGCTGGGTGGGAGGAATCGCTGCGGTGTTTGGCCACGCGTCTCCTCACCTGGCTGGCGTGTTTGTTCCCTTGCAGAGATTTCTGCTGACTTCAAGGATCAGTCATCCCCAGCTGGAAAAGAACCACCTGCAGCCCCGGCCTGCTCCTCACCGCCCAGCAGCCACCATTCCTCAGAGCTGGCGGTGCCGGTGTCGCTGGGGCAGACGGTGCCCGTGGGGCGGCTGGAGGACTTCCTGGAGAGCAGCACCGGCCTCCCGCTGCTGACGGCAGGCCACGATGGGCCTGAGCCCCTGTCCTTGATCGATGACCTCCACAGTGAGATGCTGAGCAGCTCGGCCATCCTGGACCACCCGCCTTCACCCATGGACACCTCGGAATTGCACTTTGCTCACGAGCCGGCCGGGGGCATAGCCTTGGATCTGGCTGAGGCTAACTTGGACAGCATGGACTGGCTGGAGTTGCCGGGGGGATCTGTCATGAGCCTGGCCCCCCTCAGCACCACGGCTCCCAGCCTCTTTTCCACAGACTTCCTTGATGGACATGATCTGCAGCTGCACTGGGATTCGTGCTTGTAACTCTGTGAGCAGAGACTGAAGGGAATGGGTGCGGGAGGGCACGGGCATGCAGGGGGAAGAGGCCAGTCAACCAAAAGAAACCCCAGAAACAAAAGAGAAAAAAAAAAAAAAAGGAGCTCCTAGTATCTATACTCCTCCCCCACAGTGTTCCTCCCCTATGAAGCCAGCAGTGGCAGCAAGGGCAGACCCTCTGCTTAAACCACTGCCTGCAGTGCAGTGGGGCCAGGAGAATGGCTGCAGCTCTGGGGCGAGAGCAGAGCTGGCAGCCCCGCTCCCTCCTGCAGGACGTGGGCATAGAGCTGCAGGTGATGAATGCTTCTTGCAGCAGGACAGGGTGTGACCGGACCCGAGCCCTTCTGAAAGCAGCATCCCACTCCTTGCTGGCAGACCTGGAGCATTACACAGCCCCAGCTGCCCCAGTTAATGGTTGTGGAAGGGGATTATTCTACCTCTGGAGCAGGGCACAGAGGAGGGAGCTGCCAGGAGAGCTGCCTGCTGCCCCTGTGCCATCCGTCAGGGGTCACCTCTGCCACAGAGCTGTAAGGAATAGGCAGAACAGGCACCTTTTCCAAATGTAGCCAAAGGAAACCGGAGTTTCCCACCAACCTGGTACTCTCTGAGCTGGTTTCTAAAGTCCTGCTGAGCTTGGCAAAGGCTGCCACTTGCTTCACTTGCTTCGGGCTGCAAAAACAGACTTTTAAGGTGCTAAAATCCAGGTTAGATCTGTCCTTCACTGACCCAGGTCTCCAGCTGTGCCTGGAGTCAGCCTGCAGGCACTCTGCTCACTGCCCCCAAGCTGAGCAGGGCATCAGCCCACTGTCCTGGGGAGTGCAGAGGGGCACAGCTGCCATCGAGTAAACATATCATTAAGGGCCACGTGCAATCTTTCTCCTGCCTTCAGCTGTGCTACTGCCTCCCTGCAGCAGGTGACCCAGGTGTAAAGAAGAGCTCCTCCCACCTCCAAAACTGCCCTCCAGCCCCAAGGAGAGAAGGATGTCAGCCCCAGCAGCAAGGAAAGGGAAGAGGCACTGCTGAGAGGGTTTGTGCTGGCTCAGGAGCGCTACTGTGGGGGCCCTTTCTGAGGAGAACTGATGGGCTTCTGTCTCTGCTCTGCTGTGCCCACAACTCAGTGTTAAGAGGCAAACACAGCAATCAGCTGTGGCCTGGAACCTCCAGTCCTGTGCACTTGCAGCCCCACAGTGCTTGCTGTCAGGAACTGACCTGGCAGCTGGTTGAGCTCACACTTGCAGTGCAGCTGGGAGAAAGTCCTGCCTTCCTGAGCCCGATCTGCTTGTCAGCTACATGGGGAGCCACTTCCTTAATCATTGGTGGGGGATGCCTGCTGGCAGCTGCCTTTCTGCCCCCACTCCTTCTGTTGCCCAAGCCCCAGTCCCATCATAAAAACCAGTAACTGGGACTGATGGACCATCCCTGCCCCTTCCTTCCACTCTTGCCTTCCTCACTAATCGTTTCTCAGGCCCAGCATGATTATGGTGGTTGTGCGTTGTGTGTACTGGGAAGCAGGAACCTGGCACAGAGGAGCAGAGGCAGGAGCACATTAGAAATCATGCTGCAGAGCTCTCGCAGCACAGGCCCTGACTCTTTGCTTTGAGATATGAACAAGGACAGAGTCAGAGCCCACCCAGGACAGCTGACTGGCCATGGGACCACATGGCACAGGAGGCAGACAGCATAGGAGCAAAGTGTGGCAGGGGAGCAGGAGGAAGATCTTTCCTCCATGAAGTATTTCACATGTTAAGGAGGAAAAATGAGGCTGCCTTTTCCTCAAACTCAAGCAAAATCAGCTGCTTTTAGCCTGCAGAGAGCAGCAGCCCCCTCCCCCCCAAAAAAAAGAAACAGCTGCGTGATTTCTTTTGTACAAATAATCACAAAGTGGCAACCAGCAAATAAAGAATGAAAGTATCCAAGTGCAATTCGCTCCTACGGAAGGTGGGAGCACTCCACCTGCACCCCAGGCCTGACTCAGCCATGGTTCTTTGCGCTGGGCCGGGGCCCCCAGCCCTTGCTGGCAGAGGTGCCAGCGCCCCTTGCTGGTTTCACCCTTCCCCTGGGTGGGTGGCAAAAGGCTCAGTTTCTATGCACCGCTGTTTGCCTTTGCTCACCCACCTCCCCTTAGGAAAGCTGTAGGAATACATTACGTTGGCCCAATGTACTTGAAACCAGCTGAGGAACGCAGCGAGCCTGCAGGGGCCCCCTGCACAAAGGGCTTCTGCCAGCACAGCAGCGATAACCTGGTGGCTAAGGGCAGTGGGAACGGGGCGTCTCATCCTAGCAAATAATAATAGAGGTCTTTTCCCCAAGCTGTGCCCAGAGCAGGCTAGCCCAGTTCTCTGCTTTCTTACTATTATTTGTTTGAATAATAGTTCAATAGTTCTTTGTTGGAAGAGGTATTCCCCTGGACGTACATTTCTGCACCCACTGGGAAAAACAAGAAGTCTGATGTTCTGCCTCTACCTTGAATGTAATCCTGAATCTTTCTGCTGTAACCACTACTTGTTTGTAACGTGTATTTGACTAGCACGAACTCTCCCTTCCACTATGCAGCAAACGGCGAGGGGTGATCGGCACCGTCTGAGACGGGTGGTGTTGGGGTGTCGGATCCAGAGCGAGTATTCAACTGGAAAAGGATAAGAGTGACAAGTTAATGGGGGAGAGAATGGATCTTTAAATTGAATTATTTTTTCAGTTACAAATATTTGAAAGAAAAAAAAAACAAAACATTTTATTAAAAAAATTCCAAACGGCCACGTGCTCCGAAACTTCTCTGTGGTGCTGGTGGGAGGGCCTGGCGCTGCTGCCTGTTCCAGCTGAGGGGTGGGTGAGCTCTCCGGGTCCTTCCAAAACCTGAGCAACCACCAAAGGCCTCAGGGCAGGAGGAGCACAAGTAGCTCCTTCCAGCCTCCTAACAGCACTGTGGGCTGCCCTGGACCCTGCTGCTAGAGATGAGGCTGCAGAGCTTGAGGAATAGCAGGGCTGCTCCTCGCCCCAGCTCAGCTGCTCAGGGCCCCATCCAACTTAGCCTTGAGTGCCTCCAGGGATGGGGCACCCACAGCTTTGTGGGCAATCTGCTCAACAAGGAATTTAGTTAGCCCCGTTCCCATGGAAAAACAAAGCCGAAGTCCAGTGCTCTCCCAAGATGCAGTTTATTTACAAACCCACAGAATAAAGTAAAGTAAGAATCTAGTGTCATCTCATGAGTAGTTTGTGCTCACTGACAAGCGCTTTCACTAGAAAGTCACAGACTCCATATCCAGAGCCACCACCACAAAGCAGCAATTCTCCACTCCCGACTGGCATCCCTGCCCCCGCTGCAGGGCGAGGAGGACCAGTCGGTCTCCCTGAGCCGGCTCCAACCTGAACCCCATCCTGAGCTACGACAGTGCCAAAATATACACACGTTCTCGGAGTTAATTTACAGCTTTTTGGTTAACAGTAAAAATCACGTAGAGACTAAAATGATAGCATGAAACACTCTTTCTACAGGAGTGTTGGTTTTTGTCTGCTCCCAGAGGAGACAAAGCCCGTCCCCTAGGGCTGTCAGAGCAGTGCTCTCCAGCACCTCGTGTCGACATCCCACACACCAGTGCCAGAGAAGTGGGATGAGGCTGATACCAGTTCCCCCTTCTCTGCCCTGACTCCACGTCGGGCGAACCCATTCAAGTGCTTCAGGTTCTGCCCTTCCCCTCCCCTCGGAGGTGAGCCCTTGGATGGCACGAGGTGGGGTGCGTGCCATCCCTGCTCCACACAGCATCAAGTCCCTCACCAGCTCTATTCCACCTGCATCTGCAGTGCCACCCTTCACGGATCAAAGCCATCCCACAAGGATTGCCTCTGCCCCACAGCTACGGTAGCACTGGAAACACTGGCACACAGTGGCTGGGCCTGCAGCCCCTCTCCCCAGGGAAATGGGGGTGGCAGAAGTGGGGAAGGCTGGGAAGGGGCACTCATTTTTCTGATCAGAACACACATGTCCCTGTGCAGCATCAGCCTCGACCATCACCTCCCTCGGGTCTGGCAGCAGTGCCACAAGGCCACACTGCATCGGTCCCGGGTAGCCTCGCAGCCCCCCGAGGGGGATTTTGTCACAGATACAAGTGTAGGGTAGGGAAGGAAGGGGATGTGAGATGATGGGGCTTGGGGAGAGGAGTGCAGGCCACTGAGAAGGTTCCCGGGGCAGGGGGGGGTGGAGGTCACCCATCTATGTCCCAGCTGAAGAGGTGGTGTTTCACAAGCATGTCCTGCACGCCTTCCTTCAGTGGCTTCTTCTCCTTCTCCTGCAAGGAGGCACAGAGACCTGGGTCAGTGCACTGCATCCAGACAAGCAGGGCCCAGGCAGCCAAGGCACCCAGCATCCCGCAGAGCTGCCTGCACTTCCCACCACCCCAGCTGAAGCAGGGAGAGGCCCTGCGGTTTGGAGAGCAGGGAGGAAGGGAGGGGCTGCCACTTCCCTCAGCCCCAGCTGTGTGGGCAGTGCCCTGCCACCTATTCCTGGGCATCACTAAAGAAAACAGCTCCATCCACAGCTGGTTCCAGGATGAGCTGGAGCACCAGATAATGAGGAGAGGTGCTAAGCGAAGCCCCCTGCCCAGAAGAGGAGCAATGCTGCCTACTCACCTCCCTCTTTATTGGCAGCTCCCAGTCCTGAGACAGGCTGAAGGCAAATTTGCAGAGCACTCTGAAATGGAAAAGAGTGGTAGTAATGCACACATCCAGAGCTGCTGCCCCAGCTACACAACTGCTCCTCAGCTTGCCCTGGAAAATTGCTCAGTTTTATAGGGGTGGAGAGCCTTTTTTTTGGCACCAAAAAAGCAGCACCAGCCTTCTGTGGCCAGTTTCCTCCTGTACTTAGGGCTGTGCATCTTGCCAGGCCCAGGCTGGGAAGAGCAGCTTAGAAATGTGACTCAAGTGCAACCCCTATAGAGCCTGACAATACAATGCAGGGAAGTGCAGGCAGCCCCACGGCTCTGCTAAGCTGCAGACACATGTAGATTTCTCTCCAGAAAGCTGACTGCTATCAGCAGCATCTCCAAGATTTTACACTCACCGTTCACTCCCTAAAGTAAGAGGGGCATCCTGACCCCTATGGACATGTACTGCATGGGGATGCTTCTAGCTGGATCCCTGAAGACAGATGCAGAGTTCAGCTGCCAAACTTGTCAGTGTCCTCCAGGCTCAGGAGAATATCTGACAAGAATATTCTTCAACACCTGCAGCTGCAGTGTGGCCAAGATCCTCCACAGGATGAAGGCAGGAAGGAGAATGGTACAAAGCTCAGCTCCTGCTCCTAATGAGCCCCAACTCAGCCAAGAACCAGTCCCACTGCTCCGTGCTGTGAGCAAGCAGCCTCAGGCTCACTGCAGCACAGAGGTGAAGGGAACTCCTACCCATAGTAGCACCAGGAGCAGGGCACCTTTAGCTGTGGGCTGCACATGGGCCTGCTCCCTACTATAGATGCTCCTGCTGGGAACCATTGTGACTGGCAGAGGGGTCTGAAGGGCAGAGATGGACAAGGTAGTACCTTCAGTGGAGCAGCTGTGGGCCTGATCTGCTTTTGGCTGGCCCAGAGGAGGCTGCTGTCAGGAAGATCCTGCATGTTTGTCATGACAGCTCCCCAGAAGCCAGGTTCTGACCTTAATCAAGCAGGCACTGTGCATCCCATTAAACTGTCTAGACGGTCACTGCTGCCTCAGCACACAGAGAGAGATCTCTGCAGGGGGATGTCTGGACAGCCATAGCTACTGCTAACCGGTGAGGGCTCAAACCCAGCTGCTGTGAGGGCCACCTCCACACAGGGCAGGAGGAAATCCATGCAAGACCCATAGGAACAGACTTACCTCAGCTCACATTTGATCTGGACCCACCCGGGGCTGCGCAGGAACGACCAGGGATGAAACCACTTCTCCACGGTCTGCAGGCTTGAACACAGCACCTCCAGCCACAAATGTAGCACTTGTTCGCTGCAGTGATGAGGCAGAGGTTTGTTACTGGGCTGAAACCAGGGAAAGAAGCTTTGTCCCTTTGGGACAGCCTAATTTCAGCCCCAGCAGGAGGGGGATGCCCCAGGTGAATCTATGTGGGCCACCATGACAAGCAAGAAAGGAGCAGATACCACTCAGTGGCTGAAGTGAGAGGGGAAGTCCGCATGGCCTAAAGTAGATGGAAGCAACTGCTTCCCACAGGCCTGTTTTGCTGCCTCCCGAGCACTGAGTACCCACAGTGTGAAGGTGACAGGTCTGGGTTACTCACTTGAGCCCAACGCAGATGAGGGAACGAAGTTTCACATCCATCTGTACGTGTGCAGCGTCGTGCGTCATGTTCACAGCCTGAACTGCCTGGAGGGCAGGAAGATGTGGTTACCACCTGCTCACAGCTTCACCTTAAGCTGGGCTGAGCAGCCATGTCAGCAGCACAGCCAAGTGCTGCCTTCCCAAGAGCTCCCCACCTTCACCCAGCACCACCTGCTAGCATTAGAGGGGCTGAGACTGCCTGACAGTTCCATTTTCTGCCTTTCTCCAAGCACCTGGTGTCTTCACACCACCAAGGAAATCAAGCATCTCCCTGGAGAAGGGCATCACCCTCCAAGCAGCTCCCATGGTAAACATCCCTGTGTTACCAGCTGGGCTCTGCCTGGGCTGGGGCAGCACTCACCCGATAAAGCAGCTCCTCTGGAGTGAGGACTTTGCCATCTTCATCCAGCCTGAAAAGATTACAGAAAAAAAGCTAGCTAGCTCAGGAACCATCCCTGGGCACATGTAGGCCCCTCCAAACCCCAATAGTGACAGCTCCCTTGCTTGTACTGAGCCCACAGGTGATCACACAGCTGTGAGAGCAAAGCATGACCCCAGATGCAAATGCAGGAACCCAAGAAAGAGGGCAAAAGTCAGCCCCAAGTCAGCAAAGGCATGGCAATCTGCTGACACCACACACATGAAGGCTGGGGCAGACCATGACCTTTCCTATGGTGGTAAGCAGCAGCAGTTTGACAGACAGGAGCAGGGCACAGACACTGCTGCTTGCTATGAAAGAAGTGGCCTTACCTGTAAGTCTTGCAGAGCACGAGGCGAGAATACACAGAGTCAAAGTCCCGTTCCACTTCCCTGCTTGCAGCCTAGAAGGGCATAGGGACAGTCAGTACACATTACCCTGCTGCCCCTTCACCCCATCCCTCCAACAGCACTGTGCCATGAAAGGAACTGAGACATCTCACCTCTTCAATGAAGAGCCAAGGATGGCAGGCACCCCCCAGCAGCGATGGCTTCTTCAATCCGTGTTCAAATATGGACTTCAAGGCAGGACAGAGCGTCCCTCGCACCAAGTCTGTCACCCCTTCTGTGACCGAGTCATCTCCAGCAATGGAGTACTGATGAACACAGAGAATCAGCTCTCAGCAGACTGCTCATGGAGCAGCTCACAGCTGATTCCAGTCCTCCACTCCCAGGTACGACCTATTTTCCTCAGCCTCCTATGTTCCTGCTGGCTCTTGCAGAAGGTACCAGTGCTGGTCCCCTGGGATGTGCTGAGTGACCAGCACCTTTGTGCCTAGATGTTGGACATGATACTGGTGACACCAGCACCATCCTGGCAGCATTCAGCACATAGGAACTGTTGCAGTTTGATGTGATGCTGTCCAAGCTAAGGTGAGGTTGGGACAAGCAGTGAGGGCTCCTGGGACTCCGTCAGCTGCTAAAGGCCAAGATAAATAGGGGTACATGAGAATTCCCAGGTCAGCTGGTGTATCACTCAAAGGTATCACACTGACACACTGCTGTCCCGAAGAACTAACAGTAACATGTCAGGATTAAAATAAATGGAATCCTCATCTGGGAGAAGAGCTGTTCAGCAGCACAGTTGATATACAGAGAGATACGTGAGATGCATTTATGGAACCAGCCCAGAGAAGGGGAGTGAAGGAAGCAAGTGAGATGTCAATGATGACATCTAACTACGGGCTTCACTGGGAGTCTCAGGTCAGCCTTTGAGCCACTCCTCACTCTCCAAATGGTGAAGAGGAGAAGCAGGACAGATTTTTCTCCACTTCTGCAAATTGCATAGGCCAACAGCTGATGATATTTATCTCCTATCAGTAACCTTGGAGCCACAGTGAGGCATCTGCTTTAAACAGCTGGCATCTCACTGCTGCTGGTCACAAGAGGAACCAAGACAGTGCTCTTTTGGGTGCAGCTACTTGGACCATACCCTGTGGTGACCACAGAACACCAGGACTTGCAGGGATAGCCTCAGAGGAGGAAGAGAATACAGGCAGTAGGAAGCAGACAGAAACATTGACCACAGGATCCTGCTGTGTCCTTGCCTTTTGCTTTCTCTGCTTTCCCAAAGCTGGTCTCTGAGGGCCCTGCTAGCCCACACTGCACTCAACTCCCCCCACAGCCTGTGCTGTCTGCGTGGCCAGCCTCAGGAAACTGAGCAAACAGGCCTAGGAAAATAAGCTGATAACATCACCAAGTTGCTCAGTAGCCAGAGAGAGCAAACACACTCAAAGAGGGAATACATGGCTCTTTTCAATTATGACATCACCTTTTTTAATATATATATATATATATATATTTAATTACCTCTTTGCTCCTCTCATCCAGGATCTCCACAAATTTTGCAGGAAACCAACCTACGAAGACAAAAACATAAGCCTACCACAGACACTGAGAATTCTGTCTAAAGGAGATGAGAGCCCAGTGAAGGCTGGGAATAAATCAGAGTTCATGAAGTCCAAGCCCAAAAAGGAAGCAAGCAGCCAGAAAATCACCAGAATTAAGGCAACTGCAAGAAGAAACCTATTGCTGGATGCTGCCCACAAACAGCAGAGATGATGTGCACCCAACCACACTGTGACAGGAGGATGCAGCCTAACCTTGCTGTTTGCAAGAAGCAACCATGTAGCTGCAACCACCACCCTCATACCCTGCTGGAATATTCCCCTGGTCCCTGGCAGCTCCTCTGAGTGAATGGCAGTGCTTTTTATTAAAATATGCCAGCACAGTTGCTGTGGATGAATGCATGCTTTGCATCCCACCCTGTTGCTCCCAGTAACAACAGCTTTGTCCTGCTCTCTCACCTCGCAGTCCATTCAGCTCTCCAACCCAACAGTGCTCATCCTTTTGGGAAATGATCTGAAAAAACAGGGAGTGGAAAACAGCAGTTGGAAAGAATGTCAGTGACTTGAAGCGGACAGAAATGAAAGTGGGAAACAGAAATCCATCCCCACAGGAGCATGTGCAGTGCCAGGAAGGTTACAGCTGCCTGACTGTGGGTGCATAATGATTAACTGCTTTCTTTTCAGCTCTTTTGTCACTGCTCCCTTCTCACGTGGTTCTGGGCCTTCAACAGCAAAAAGCTACTGGAAACACAATTCCATGCCTCTTTTTCTAAGTTCCAGATGGGATGCCCACAACTAAAAGACAAAATGGATGCTTTTAGTCTTACCACAACCTGGTGCGTGGTGTTGAATTGGAGCACAGATTGGACTAAATCTAGCTTTGGCTCAGCTGTGTGGCAGCCAGGAAAGGGTGATGTTCCCAGTTGCACTGGGACAAGACAACACATGACAACATTCAGAGGAACACACTGCCTCATCCCCAGGCAGCTGCTTCGCTTCGGACTCCTAACTGGGCTCTGAGCTCATCTCCTCCCTTGTTTCCCCACAGAAGAGGCAGTGTAGAATCCCAAACGAGCTTGGACTGCACGATCGTGCCCCGGTGCCTCCCCCTCGGCTGGCATACCGTAATGATGTCGTTCTTGCGGAAGCCCAGCTCGTCGTCATCGTGACGCTCGAAGTCCAGCAGTGCCTTGGCACGGCGCCGCCGGTTGCGGGAACAGGCCACGTAGTTCTCATGGTCCCGCTGGTGGCTCTCCATACTGTAGTCTGGAGTCAGATCCTGGCAAGCACACGGACACAGAGCAGAGGAATGAAAAACAACAGATGATGAGAGTTGGAATAGATGAGCTTTAAAGGTCCGTTCCAACTCAAACGAGCCCACGAATCTACACTCAGCTCATCTACCAAAGCCTTTGGCCCTTGTTCCCAAACTCTCCTCCTCACAGGAAGGCAACTTCCCAGCACAGCCTCCCTGCACTGGAGAAGGGCTGAGCAACCCTCACCCTCCATCTGTTACACCTGATGCATTCTCCCTCAAGCCCACCCGCTCCAGGAGCACCCAGCAGCTCCCACTCACAATGCTGCAGTTCTTGGGATCCACGCACTGGAAGTGCCGTGCCACCTGGAGAATGGCCTCACGAAGGTCGGCCACCAGCTCTGTCTGCTTGATGTTCTTGGCTTTCAGTGCCTCCAAGTCCTCATCTCCTGGTGGAGCCCACACAGCCAGAGGGAAGATGCAGAAGGGAAAACAAGTACGAGATATTTTTTATCAATATTAGAAATCATTAGTTCTACAGAAATCAAACAAGCCTGACTTAGAATTGCCTGCATTAAGGTAGGTGCTTACTGCCAATCTGTTCAGTAGTGTACATAAGAAGCAGCAACAAGACCGTTTCAAGTTTTATTTCCAAGCACATATGGAGCTGAAGGATGTCAACTCTGATCTTTCTGAGCAACTCACCATGCCACAGTGCTGCTCTACTGTTTCAGAGCAGTGCCTGCACAGTATACAGAAGCAGCTGAATGGTTGGACTCAAACCTAAAAAACTTCCAAAAATTGTTATGAATTGAAATTCTCTTTACACTGAAATGGCTTTCAACTACTTGTAATTTTTGCCTACAGGATGAGAGCATCTTCTTCACTGAAACTTGAGAAAAAAGTGAACAACCAAGACAGCTCTTCTGTCAGTCTAAAAGTGAGAGCCACAAGAGACAAGCCTCCATCTGAGATCTTAGCCTCTCTAACAGACACATTTCAAAGATTTTGGTATATAGAAAGGGTCGCAAGTACAAGACAAAAGTTACCAAAGCATCTCCCAACTTTCAGCTAGTATCTACTTATTTATAGATACCTACTGGTATTGGTTCTTTAGACAGTTAACATATCCAGTCTTTATTGGGCACCTGAAGTTTGGGCATAATGAACCACTTGCTCTTTTTTTCCTAAAAGAAAGGATCCAGCTTTTGTTTTTAATTCAAAGTGCAATTTCACGATCTACTTTTGCTTTCTATAATATACTGAAGAATTGGTAGTTTGATTAACAAAATTGGCATTTAAAACAATGTGTTCTTCCATGAACTCCAGTTTTTATATAAATGGCATTTTTACACATCCCTTGTAAACCAGTGGCCAGCAAACTACTACACTGCTTGCCTTCTAACAGCATTGCAGAAAACAGGATGAAAAGAATGAGCAATATAGCTGTGAAGAGTAGCTCCTGCTTTATGAAGAGTGATGAACTGTATCTTTTAATTTCAAGTGATACTAATTAAAAAAACCAAAACTTCAGGAATGTAACTGGAAGCACAGGATTAGATTTTAAATTATTTTTGATTCTTTTCTACTGATTATGTATATTATGAGAATCAGATTTAGATACAGAGAGCATAAAAAAAACCTGAACTTTGTTTCCGGACCAGAAATAAGTCACACTAAGTCCCAGTCCAAGCAATGAAAATTAACCAAAACCTCCCTGCAAGTGGCCACAGAGTGTGCAAGAAGCCTCTCGACAGATTCAAAGAGGTAGACTGGAAACAGATCGCTCAGAGGGCGGAAGATTAACGTTGCTAAAACAGAAGGTGACTAAAGAAGAAACTGCTCAACCACATCCATGCTAGCTCAGTGGGCTGCCCTCATTTTCAGATAATGCAATTTCATCATTTAGTCCCTTCTGGCCAAAACACCGTGCTTCTCCTTCCACGTCCAGACGAATCCCACCCAAACACGAGCAGGAGAGACAGGAAGAAAGTTTTATACCTTTCCCCCCTTCAAATATACGTAACACAAAAGAAAGTGGCTGGGGTTACCAGCAGATACACCTCGCTGCACCTGACATGCCCGCACATATGTTTCAAAAGCAGGAAACGAGTATGAAATCAGCTGCATGACAGGGCTCTATTTTGAGCCTGCAAAGCCTCATGAGCTGCATAGTTGTGCAGAGGAGGGTTAACTCTCATGCATCGCCTTGTTGCAATGCCCATCCAAAAGGAAAAGGGGAGGGAAAATGGCTGTTTATGAAGGTGGATAGTGATAGGGCAAAGGAGAACGGTTTTAAACTGAGACAGGGGAGGTTCAGATTAAATATTAGGAGGAAGTTTTTCACTCAGAGGTGGTGATGCACTGGAACAGGTTGCCCAAGGAAGGTGTGGATGCCCCATCCCTGGAGGAATTCGAGGCCAGGCTGGATGTGGCTCTGGGCTGCTCAAAAGCTGCTCAAACTTAAGCCAAGGGGAAACTGAGACACAAGGAAGATGTGCTTGGCAGCTAAGCTCCCTACAGATACAGTCTGTACTGCCTGCATGATAGCACTACACATAAGAGCTATGAGAACATAGCTTGAACAAGCAACCTGCCTGCATTTGTTCACTTCTTAACAGCTTCACTGGCCTTGCACTACCATGTACAGCGTTATGTACAAACATGCATCTAAGCAAGCCTCTGATGGCCCATGAGCTGCTCAGACATCATCAGAAAAGCTCTTCTCTGAAAAGACCAGCAGAACACAGTTTTAGATTTTTTCAGGCTACTACAACAACAGGAGATTTTTTTTAAATCCTGGAAATTTGGTACATTTTCTTTCCCCAGAAGAACAATTTCTGTGGTGAGATGTGGCAATTTCAAGACAGCTAACCAGTTGCAAGGAAGGTGATGACAGAGAGATTTTCAACAGGAAGGGCTATTATGAAGCCACAGAATTACATTATTTTAAATCTATGCTGGCTGTGCACTTTCTGGACATTGGCTGGGTTAGCTCATAAGCAATGGGAAGAATCAAAAATGTCCACACTGTGAAGCTCTCAGAGTAGGCATGGAAACATCAGTGCATGGAGCATCAGTGATACTTGCAGTTATAAATTTTGACTTATGAATCTTGATGAATTATACATCAAGCCATTCTGCCTGGTCTGGGATCTTCAGGGGAGTACAGCACACAGCCCATGGACTGCGTAACAGTCTAGTAGAAAGTATGTTCAAACGTCTAGCCAGTGCAAAGAGCCCATCCATGGTAAGTCACCAGTTAAGGACCTACTAACTAATCCAAAATGCACCTCTTAAGATCAGGCCAAAGCAAGCAAATAGAAAGTTACACTTCTTCCAGCTCATCCTTCAGTTGTGGCTCCCTTCTCTTCTTTTCCTTTGTCCTGCATCTCCCACCCCTCATGGCTGCTTGATCCATCAACACCACATGAAAAGCACAGGACTGTCCTTACCAAAAAGCAGAGAGGTGATGCCAGATTTCCTGCGCTGAGTCCTGCGCCGCACGATCTGAGAAGGAGAGAACAAAGTGCACAAACTTTTGTAAGTTTAGTAAATGAAATAATCCTCCACACTGGTTGGGTTTGAGCAAGGGATTCTGATAGGGGTTTTTTTTCAATCAGAGGGTGGTAACACACCGGAACAGGTTGCCCAAGGAGGTTGTGGATGCCCCATCCCTGGAAGCATTCAAGGCCAGGCTGGATGTGGCTCTGGGCAGCCTGGTCTGGTGGTTGGTGACCCTGCACATGGCAGGGGGTTGAAACTCGATGATCACTGTGGTCCTTTTCAACACAGGCCCTTCTATGATTCTGTGATAGCTAACATTGCAAGGGGCAGGCAAGTGACTTTGCAATTTTATACAAGAGTTGTTCTTGTTCCAGTGCAATGAATCAGCTCTATTGCTTGCTCTGCTCCATGTGCAGTGGGTTATTTATAGCTCAATTACGACAAAAGCATACATGAAGTTCAATAATCAACTCTGATTCAATTGAATAATTTCAGTTTTAATTTTACCTGTTGCCAGATGCACATCCACACATAACTGTATTTAAATTTCTGAGTGGCTGCTTATTACATTTTGGGATTGCAGGAGTGCCTGGTGATAAGCACTAAGATGAGCGTCAAGAAGATATGTTTTATGCAGGCTTGACGAACAGGAGGTACTACATCTGCAACTGCAGACTGTGATCTATGACTAAACACAGATGCGTTTCTTACTCAGCTTCTCAAAGGCCACTGCACTTTACTTTCTGGAATTATTTCAGCACGTCAGTTTCTTACTAATGGATTAATCCCAGGTCCCACTCTGCTGTATGCTTACGTTAGCGCCAGGCAAATTCTGCCAAAAGTGAGTGCTGCTTCTTTTATGATTTCTCATTAATGAAATGTAATGCTTTCCATCATTCCTCTCATTAATGATAATCACAATTGACATCAACATTCCTTTCATCTGTGGATTTATCAATCGGGACAGAGTCAGCAGCATTTCATCAGCACAGGCCTTCCCTTCTCTTGCCAACACCTTTTCTCTGGGTGACAGAGCTGACGTCCTCTCAGACAGGAGGACCTCTTGCCCGCAAACAGCAGTCGGTTGAAATACAGAGTGGGAAAAACAGAGCAGCGGAGGCAGACAGAATTCAGAGCGCTCACTTTGGATAAATTGTTGACAGTGGTGCTGGAGTTGAGCAGCTGCCCCTGGTCAGCAATGAGGTAGGCCAAGTGTTTGCGACGCTGGGTCTCCACCGCCACATCTGTCAGCGAGCCAGCCACACGCATGGCTTCCCGCAGCAGCACATCTGCATCTTCTATCTGACTTGGGATGTCCGAGAGCGTGTTGAAGATTGAGGCAGAGTTCTCAGACTGGATTAGCTCATCCTCCTGCAAAGATGCAGTTGTTTTTCCACACAGAACAGTGAGCGTGACAGTTATGCTCCTGAAGCTGCTAGATTCAACTCTACTTTCAGTGTACTGCCCAGGCCAGAAACAATGCAGGTAAAGCTATGAAATTACATTAAAAACTTTGGTAGAAAAAAAATGCAGGCTAGCTCTGGGAATAGAACAGCAATTTTTTACTACTGCACTAAGATCTGCTCCCAAAACTCCACCTGGCATGTTTTTGAGTCATAGAGACAGTGCAAAACCAAGAGACATTTTGATTTAAATAGGATGCGTTCTCAGGTTGGGATCTAGAGTGAGCAGAGGGAGCAGCTGATGGGGCTTAATTATGAGGGATCAAATGAAGTAAGCAGGGAAAACAGAAATCCCTGAATCTGCAAAGCACCTTGGAAGTTTTCACGGCTTCCACTTCTGAGGAAAGCAAGGAGTCATCTTCCCTTGCACACTCCCAGACCACATACAGCAAGCCTTGTTGCATCTCAATCTTGCAGTCAAATACTGAAGTGCTATAAAGAAGGAAGTGGTGGTAGTGCTACCTTCATACTGAGCATGCCCAAAGTGAGCTGGAACAGCACCAGAGAGCCCTCATAGAAGAAGAGGTCCCAAATGCGCAGCAGCAGCTTGATGTGGACAACACTAGCGAAGGAGGTGAGGAACCAGTGCAGGGTGATCAGGGACAGCTCTGTGAATAGAGACATACAAAGGAATCACGATGGGATGTCAGCTAACCAGCAGAAACAGATCCTCCTAAGTGCTGCCCTCCCAGCTTACAGATGACCTTGCACTGCCCTGGCCCCCAGGGCCAGGTTTGCTCCTAGCTCTGCTGCTCTCCCTTTGTGAAACAAGGGCAATTATCTCTGCCTGCACACCACCCAGAGGAGCCATGGGCACACTTTTACCAATGTCATGCTCCTGGAGCAGCTTGTCCAGACGGGGTAGGTACTGTACAATGAGCTGTCGCAGGACGCGCTGGTCTGTCTGCACCCCCATCAGGGTGGTACTGAAGTAGGAGGCGGGAACCAGTTCCTCAATGATAGCACACATCATCCAGAAGGCATCTTCCTCCTCCAAGAAGAGCAGCAGAGAAGCAGCCACCTAGGATTTTGAAGGAAGATTATATGCCAAGCCTGTCCTAACAGTAGCACTCCTTCCCCATCTCCTCACATGGTCCAGTGTCTACGAAACCAATGTCTTCCTTCCTCTGCAGCAGCTCTACTGCAGTCTCTCCCAGGGAAGAGATTTCTGTGCAGTGTAACACCAGTTCCTCCCCCACAGAGGAACCAAATTATTGCACACCTTTGGACACGCTGTGTTACTCTGTTCCACTCTCCTCAAGCAATATGTTCTGTGTGAAAAGGATTTCCCTTCAGCTAGTCTGGAGGTCACAGCATCTGGCAGCATTACCTCAAATCACTTACCCCAAAGTAGCTACAGAACAATCCCTATCACAAAAGCACTATTAAAGCAGGTTACCATGCCAGTGCCTTGGCAATAGCCAATCTCCGGGTAGAGCCAGGCAAGTCCCCGTAGTATCCTGCGTAGCCGTGGCACCCCAATACTGTTCATGTTGGAGAAGCAGGCATTGCTGGGCATTGTGCGGAGGAGGTCTTTCTCAATCTGTCAGACAGCCAGAAGCAAGGAAGGGGTTAGTTAGCAGCATTTGAACAATTGCCTTCTGCTCTCAGTGAGCTCTGCTTCCCTACACCCAAGTCTTTAGGCATCAAAGAAGATGGCACTGTTCAAACAGCTGGGATTAATTTAATATCCTTTGTTAACATGTGAAAAACCAGTCAGATGGCAACTTGGTGACTCCCTAAAAATACTTGCCTCCACTCAGCCCCTAGTTTCTCCCCTTGCAGTAAGCATGCTGGGAATTTCATCTGCTTGGATTTCAAGCAAGGATTCTCACCATGCTTATTCATTGTTGGTGAGAAACCAACAATGTGGCCACACCTGCAGTGGGGGACTTGGAGGTGAACAGCCCACAGCTCCCCCTGGGCAGAGTTGTCCTTCCCTCCGTTGCTATCCCAGTGGACACACATCTATTACTCTTTCACCCTCTGCCTCATTCAGTATCAGGAACTTGCCCAGATGAAACTGCCATGTGGTAACCTAGCCTGCAGGTAGCAGAGGTTAAACCTCTTCCCTAGGAAGTGGGGGATCTGCACAGCTTCTACTCCAACAAACAAAGCAGATAAATGCCCAGTAAGATTAACCTTTAGTGGGATTCAATTACACATCCTTTCAGCTGTCCCTGATGCAGGTATCAGGCAGACACCCCTTCCTCTTCGTGCAGCAAATCTTGCTGTTCTCCCCACTCCCTTATGCCCAGTCAGCACTAGGCAGCATCTCTCACCTGTTTGGCAGCAATGGTTTCATCATTCGAGCAGTTTTTCACAATATCACGATATGACATCTCTGAATTTCTCTTCTTCTGCAAGGCCCCAGACAGACGCATCCACAGCTGTGGGGACAGAGTGAACAGCATTAAGGAATCACTAAACCAGCCCCAGAAAGCCACGGCCTGGCACCTTCTCAACCACGACAGGGTGGCCTCCATTCTCTGTCTCTTCCCACAGGCAGGAAGGTCAGCCCGCTGTCTCTCACCTGCGGCCTCATGCTGTGTGGGATGCCAGCCAGCACCAGGGAGCGCAGTTTGTCTGAATGTGGGAGGGTGACCTCAATTTTGTCCCAGGTGAGGTCACCCACGTCGTGGTTGTGTGTGAATTCCAGATGAGCCTGCCACTTGAGCCTCTGCTGTGGCTCCTCTATCAGCGGGAGCCCCAGAAGTTTGCTGGAGTTTGGCTCAGCACCATCTGCCTCAGCAAAGGGAAGGGAATGAAATGGAGACAAGTGAGAGAGGGAACAAAAATAGGGCGGGGTGGAGAGTAGGACAGCCATCTGATAAAAGCATGTAAAAACTTTCAGGTCTTCCAGTCAGAGCATGGGAAGGCAAAGCTTGGTTTCTAACTGTCTTCTCTATGCAGCAAACGTTGTGATCGTAAGCAAAAGGCACTGGAGCCTTAAGAACCAAGAAGCTGTCAGCAGGCCCAGGCTCTGCTTACACATGATTTACAGCAGAGTGTGGCTGGAATTCAACAAGACCCTGGCAGCAGCTATCCTGCTGGGTTTTGTGAGGATCTGTAAATCAAGCTGACAAAAGCATAGCAGGTCTCAGAGGTGACAAGCAGAAAGCTGTATGTTCATGCAAGTAATGAGGCACAAAATGTTAACTCTGGGGCTACCTATTCATTAAAAAAAAAAATCTTTAATAAGAACACTGCCCAATTCCCAGTGAGAGAGTACCTTAACCTGAGGCTAGCTTTCTAAAATAGACACATTAGCACAATATAGGTTTGACGTAAGGCACTCCATTCTTCACCACATAGCAGATTTTCAACAACACCATCCAAATCTTTCTGCTGACTTTATAATGCACAGGTCTATCAAATGGTTTGGCTGAATGAAATCAGTCTCTTTGTCCTGTCTTCATCTCTAGGTTACTGCTTCAAGAAAGTCCTCTAGGACTGTAGTCTTAGGGCACCACAGGCAAAAAAGTTCTGCCCCCCCATTGTATGGCCTGAGACCCGGAAATCTCCTCTCAGAGCACAGAAAGCAAATCCCCCATCCAACAGTCTTTTCTCTTCATCTTTCCAAAGGCAGCAAGCTGTGCTGTTCAATGCCCAACTGCCATAGCTCTCTTCTGTTTGTCCTCCTGCCACTGAATCTTGCAGAAAAACTAGGATGTGGGTTCTGCCCCTTCAGATTGCTCTACACTTTGCCAAGATGCTGGGATGTGTACAACACACACTGCTGCCACTCGCCTGAGAGCTTTCCATAGGCAGCACGTGGCACTGTGCCTGCCATTGATGCTCAGTGCTCCTGACCACAGCAGAAGCCTGCTGTGAGCCAGCAGAGCTGCCTCTCCCAGTGCACCACTAATGGAAATGGCAGCTTCCTCTTCACTTCCATCTCTCCCTCACCTATGCCACAGACATAAGGCGATGGAAAGGACTCTGCTGCGTATTTATTCCACAAGGCCAGCTCAACTGATGCATGGCCCTTAGTAGCAACGGTAGTATATGGAAAGAAGTTGACATCTGAATAAATGAAACCTAGCACACAGTGGTTGCAAAATCATTCTGCCCAAGGCCCCATGCAGCACTATCTGAAAGGGAGAGAGATGGGACTGGTTTTACCTTCCTTGTCAATTCGGAAACCAAATTCATCATAGCGGAACTCTGGCTGCTCGATGGATTCTTCTTTCTGGGAGACATAAGGAAGAAGAGACATTCTTACTGCTCCAGCACTGAGCAACTGAACAGAGACAAGTGGATATCGCCCAATCTTACACTGTGCCCTCTGAGCAACTGCAATTCTTCACCTTTACTTTTGATGCCTTCCTCCACAATTCCCAGCTGGGGAGGTGTTGCATGCTGCCCCCATTTTGACTTCCATATGGAAGATGTGAACCTCTGCTTTCTCAGCTGCACAATCTCTTGGTACAACTACTTGAGTTGCAGCACCGTACCACAACAAAGACTTCCCCATCTGAAAGGACAGACAGTCCTCATGGACTGAGGAATCCACACATCATCTACACTGGGCCCTACTGGCTGCAACTCTAAGACACAGTAGTCCTCTGAACCTAGAGTGCACACACTCAAATTCAGTTCCCTGCAGTGCCCCACTTCCTGCCTACTGCTTTCAGGTTTACTCTGAAAGACAGCAGAAAAAAACTGGGATTTGGATCTGTGAGACAAACCCAAATTAGAGGCCAAAGGAAATTCAGTTCAATTCTCAGCTTATTCTACCTGTGTTCATAGTTGGCACTAGTGGTTATGATCATTAGGCTTTTGTAAGGAGTGAATACCTACAGATGCCTCTGATTCCTGCTGACCCACCTGCCCTTCCTGTGGGGTCTTGCAAGCATTGCACCCAGGCAGCCCCAAAGAAGCACACTTCTAGCATAGCTCCAAAATAAGCTTCAGCCTCCTTCTCTGGGCTCAGTTGCCTTCAGCAAACACTGAGGGTTAGGTTACAAAATTCCATATCTGCTTCCTTCCTTCCTGTTCTGCCCACCTGGAGGCAAGCCTTGGGGCTAGCATTTCCTGCCATGCGCAAGCTGTCCAGGGTAGCTTGATGGTGACAGAGACTCCCTTGGAGTGTCAACATTTTTTACAGGGGAGCAACAGTTACAAAATAGCAGAGCAATAATTCACAGAAATTTCTGTATGCTCTGCAAGATCCTTTTGCAAGAGCCAGGACACAGCCACAAAACAAATGAAGTTTAAATAGCAAACAAGTGCCCCCAAGCGAACCACTGCAGGAAGAGTGCATCCCCTCCTCTTCCTTACAGCATTTAGAGACAATCTGAAATCACCAGGGTCTCTTTATTTCTGTGCAGAGCCAGAGAACATCCCCACCCTGCCCAACACTGTACCTGTGTGTATTTCGCCAGGATCTCCTGTGGCCAAATGCTGGGTGTGAGTGCTGAGAAGGGACCCCCAGCAGAGGGAGTGTGATGGCCTAAACACAAAGAGAGCAACAGACAGCAGTGAGAACCCAGGACACTCAGTACACACTGCTCCAGCAAGGTAAGGATTTATGCAGAAGTCTCTACTCCAGATATTGGTTTCTAGTCATTACTTCTAGACACTGTGACAGCTTCCACATCACCAAGGAGGTAAATAATTTTAGAAGGTTTGAACCCTTATTACCAAGCAAAAGAAGCAGAATGGCCAAACTGAGTTCTAACAAACGGACTTCTGGGGAACAGAAATCATTCTGTGGCATCATGCGATCGTTCCTCTTGGAAAAGCTGTGCCAAGTGAAGGCAACCATTAAACAGATTTATGAAGTAAATGCCTCCTATAGAGACACTGACATTGACTCAGCAGCACTCCAGACTGCCCTGAAACTGTGTCAGCCAGGCAACAGAACAGGACACCAGAACCCTCAGTAATATGCTCAGCTGCTCCCTTTGCTGCTGAAGGGCTGGGATGTTGCTGCCCTCCCTCTAAGGCTGCCAAGATCATGCACAGACAGCTGCAGCAACATAGGTATGCCTGTCACCTTGCTGTTCTGTGTGCAAGGCAAGCAACCTCCCAGAGGTACTGTGCCCCTTGCAATGAAATCAGACATTGAGTTCTGCAATTGAAGCAGACAAGCACATCCCAGGTCTTCCATTGTACACATCACCACCACCAAGGTTTATCTGGCTTTGAAGTAGTCTCCTTTAGGGTTTTCCCTGAAATAAGCAGCTAGCTCAGGAAGGAAGGTGCAAAGACATGGGGTGGGACAGTTCCACTGCAAGAGGGATGTGCTGGAGGAGACCTACTATTAGTCAAGCTTGTAACTCGGTAGCCCACAGACAAACTCCAGTAATTCTTCAGTCCTAGAACTACCACTTTATTGAATAAATCTCTCAGGTCATAAGCAAGCCACCTACTTTGGGGCAAGTCCTGGGAGAACAGAACTGAGCAGGTCTTATGAGAATGGGGAGGCAGACTTCATTTCATCCTCCTCCTTTCTCTGTAATTCAATGGCTGAAGCAGCATCTGAAGGCTTCAGCAAAGGGTAGAAGAAGGAACTGCACTCCTCCGAGCAAAAAGGCTGCTAGATCATAAAGAGCTGGGCACTCTCCCTCCCTCCATTTCAGGCAGAGCTGTATGTTAACATAGAGAACGGCTGTTGGAATCAGTAACTTTCTTTTACCATGCCACAGATGAAGAAAGAGAAAGCCATCAAAGAAGGCATCACATCCATTTTTGCCTGCTCACCTGACATTGTTCTAGGTAAGGCTGAGTGGCAGAGGCTGTCAGCAGGTCCAGGAATGCTGTTCTCAAGGGTGAGAGGTCACTGCCCTGTTGCAAACAGAAAAAAAGAACATCCATTAGCATCCGAGAGCATAGTGAGGGACAGACACACTCCCCAGGCACAAACTCCACACAGCAAACTCCAGAGACTTCCCAAGAGGGAATTCCCTCTTGATTTCACACCCATCAGCTACAAAGAGCATGGTATCACCTACCAAATTCTCTGTGATGCAGCCGCATTGCTGACTCAAAGAATGCCAAAAACCAAGTCAAATTCCATTATCTTTTCCATCACAGATTCTGAATCCTATTCAATTATGAACACTAAAAAAGCAGATGGCACATCACCATTCTCTGAATTTACTGCCCACAGTGAAGGGACCAGGGTGTTGAAGTGAGTTTGAGATGCAAGAAGCCTGAAAAAGATCTTGGGAGCATCAAAGCAAAACACAGGAGCACACTTACTTCAAAAAGAACCTAGGAGAAGCTAATGCTTGCATGCTTTGAATGGATTTTCCAGCTTCCTTTTTCAGTAAAGCCACTTCTGGCTGCAAACCACTGCAAGAAGGAATGTGAGGGATTCACCCAGCAGGCCTTGTCTGAGTTTTTTCAGTGCTCAGCAGTACAAGGTTATATATCTCCAGCAAGCATTTGCAGCCTACAAGTGCAAACAGGAGGGGGAACAGGTGTTTACAAGGGTGGATAGTGACAGGACAAGGGGGAATGGTTTTAAACTGAGACAGGGGAGGCATCCCTGGAGGCATTCAAGGCCAGGCTGGATGTGGCTCTGGGCAGCCTGGTCTGCCTGGTAGGCAACCCTGCACATAGCAGGCGGGTTGAAACTAGATGATTACTGTGATCATTTTCAACCCAGGCCATTCTATGATTCTATGAAGTGACTTGCTCCGGTGCTCCAAGACAAACAGCTATAAAAGCACCTGGATCTGAGAACACAAATAAGGCTTCTTCCCCCCAGATTTAAGCAGTTTTCTGCATGAGAAAAGCTGCTATGGCTGCATAGATGCCAATCTTCCAACACCAACTCTTAGAGCAAAAAAGAAGCAAACAAACAAAAGAAACAACAAATCAAAGCAACCACAAGTCCAGCTTTTGTTTCTGAGAAGCTGCCATGACCACGCATGGCCAGCTGCTTACCTGTGTGTTCTGCCCTGCCCCTAACTGCTGCCTGTCGCTCCAGCTCTCTTAGTGGAGGGTTTTTCCTCGGTAGGTAAACCTATCCTAAGGATAGAAAAAGAGCACCAACACTCTCACTTCACGTGGCAGCATTCAGGGTGTGTGCAGCAAGCAGGTAACTGCTGACGGCACTCCTGCCAATGCATTTGGAGGCTTTTTTCTGGCTCCCCGCTGCCCTTCCACCACTCTGGCACGCTCAGTACCTCCTCAAGCCCCCAGGTCACCATTAACCTTCACGCATGCACAGTCAGTGCTGAACCAACCTGTCACTGAGGAGCCGGCGTTAGGCACATAGACAAGAGAACACCCGTAGCCAGTGAACGAAGCACGGTGCCCAGGAAGCTGGGGAGAAGGGCTGAGGTCCCTCCTCATCCCACAACAGGTGGAGCAGAGGGGAACACCTCCCCCTGCCCACGTCATCGCTCTCCTGCCGGCCCCGGATATGAGAGCAGGCTTTCCCTGCCCCTGGGCCCCATGGAAACCTTCCCGAAAGCACCCAGCTGGGACCTGGTGCCGACATTGCTGGCCAGGACAGAGGGATGTGACCCTACAGCAGCTCTCAGCTCTTCTAGCCAGCAGACAGTAAGCAACCAAAGGAGATCCCATGAACCCAGTGAAAGCACATGCATGAAAACAAACCACTGCACAGCTCCCAGTTCACTGGGGGACAGCCAGAAGGACAGCTTGTGTACCTAAAAAAGGTGCTGCAGTGGAAGCTGCAGCTGTTTGAAGCGCTCCAGCTGCAAAACCCCTGTCAGAGTCACCAACGCACCACAAAGAAATACATCTGTTTACTTTCTTTTCCCTGCAAGTGTCCTTTAGAAATGGATGTTTGCAAAGGAGACCTGCAAATTTACCTCCACTTGACAGTACCAAGCCTCCTCTGGACAAACTTGCCCTTCCACATAGCTGCAATTCAAAAGATTTCAAATACCTGCCTTCCTGCAAACAGATAACAATCTCCTGCTGCCTATGTTTTACTGGCTTGGCTTCTTTTGCCATGTGATCTCCACTTAACCCTGTTGTGGTAGTGCCTGGATGTGCTAGGCCATGAATCACAAAACCATTAAAGCTGGAAAAGACCTCTGAGATCACCCAGTCCAACCTCCAGCTCATCCCCACCAAGTCCACTAAGCATGTGCCACATCCACATGGCTTGCAAACACCTCCAGGGAACGGTGACTCCACCACCTCCCTGGTCAGTCTGTGCCACTGCAGCACCTCTCTGAGAAGAAACTGTTCCTAGTGGAGCAATGCTGTCTGGAGCTTTACAGTAGGATCTTTATTTTGGCCCCAAAACTCCTTCCCAGGCATACTCCTCCCCTGCCAGTTTTAACCATCATGCTTAATTTCAACACAGACTGTCAGTTGGCTTCCACTGCTCACTGCTATGGTTTTCTTTTATTTAAAGAGTTGTAGGAGAAGTAAGAGCAATAGCAAAGCCACAGTACTCACCAGGAAGCCACACACTTGGTGTAATTCTGGAAGCCCCTTCCAATTCAGCTTTTAAAACCCCAAGTAGATTGCAACCAATTAAACATCTAGAACGTCCTTCTCTTAGAAATGAAGACAAAAAGCTTGCACTGAATCAGGCAGCTCATTTCTGTGCCCTCACACTTGGGAAGCTTTGTTTTCAGAGCTCAAACCATGACTCACCTAATGCATGGCACAAGGAGAACCCTCAGCAGGAACCGGGTAATTCCCTCTGCCTTCCCTTCCCCCAGCAGTTTCCCCTTCAGCCAGGTGAAGGCGTGTCCTGGAGCCACAAATGCCATTAGTTCCACGAGTCAATATTTGCTCTGCATGCATACAGTCAGAAGAAAACTCCAGCATCACAGATAAGCAGGTGAGTGAGCACAGCACAGCCATACCTCTGAGCATGGGATAAGACACAGTTACTTCTGGACCTGGTACCCCGACCCCTGCCTTTGGAAGCATGTAAAATTCCACATAGCGCTGCACAGGCTCCTGGTTAAGCATTCAATGTGATACCAGTAAACCTAGATGACCACAGGAAATACCTTGAAATAGGTTTGTAGACCTGAGACGTTTACAAACAATCGGCCTCACGCTGCTCTGGGTGCAGGAGGGAGATGCTGAGGAAGCCTTCCTGCTCACTTCCAACCTCAGCTGGTGACTGGGAATGAAAAGCTGAGGAACTTCAGCTGCCTTCATCCCACTTCCCTGTAAGAATCCTCCATCAGAGCACATGACAGCCTAGAAAGGGTGGAAGGAGCCTGGCAAGCAGTGGCAAGGGCTGACACCCTTTCAGAGCCCAGGAACGATGCAAGCTGCTGATGGTGCTGTCATGGACGGCGGCAGTGTGCCTTGGGGTTCAGTGGCCCCAGTCCCAGAAAAAGATGAACTGGGAGGAACTCTGTGTTGTGACTCCTGCCAAAAAGCATCCTGCAGACTCCTGGCCAGGCTGGAAAAGCAAGCAGGCACAGAAATGCTGTAAGAGGCACTCCCATGCCTCTGCTTTGCTCTCTGTACTGCTGCAAGGATAGCAGCACTCAACTGGAGCCAAAGGGACAAAGCCCGGCTAGCTGACACAGAGGGACAGAGCACTTCCAGCTGTGTATCCATTTTGAAAATAAGGATGTGAAAAAGCAGAATGCTGTTTCCTACTGGTTCTGCACCGGGCAGGCAGAACCCAGCCTGATTTCCTGCTCACAGTTTGACATGTCAAGCTTGTCTCGACAGAAACTCCCACACAACACCCACTTATGCAGAATGCAGACTTCCTGCCTATGGACAGACGTTTTCCTCGCAGAACAAACCTCTTTTTATTTTGCTAGTTGGCTCCAAAGCAGACAGCACATCCTTTATGCAGGGCACAGCTTGAAAAGGCTTTAGGGTCTGCCTGTAGCACTTATTTCTCAAATCTGGAGATAACAAAGGCTTCCCCCGTGTGGTTCACGGAAAAAAAACATCAGAGCAAAACAGAACTCATCTAGGGCTCTGCTGATTTCTTGTTGCTAATACAAGCACCATGTTTTTAATCCTGGAAAGCGAAAGCTGTCTGGCCTTACACAGCAAAAGCTGGGTGCCTGCTAACACAAACAGCAGCAGAGCACCTTGTTTGCCAGATCCTTGAGATCATAAGAGGAGGAGATCTCTCTTTTCCAATATTCCTAAGTGATGATGGGATATGTGATGTGAATGTAGAGTGCTGCTCCCGCTTCACGGGAGAGGGACAGACTAGGCACTGAGAGAAGGAGCAGTGGGATTTGTTTTCTCAAATGAGGAAGAAAATCCGGGATACAAACCAGCAAGGTGTCCGCTTTCACCTCTCTTACTGTACCGCAGAACTCTCCTTGTTACAAACCAAAGAAAGGTAGAAGGACATTACTGACAGTTACTTACAGATGCTATTAGTATGTTTTCTACATGAGACTTTGACCCTGATCCAGAGCTGGCCCTGAAAGCTCACTGCACAAAGAAGCTTTTCGGGCTGCTCTCATCCTGCTGCTGCCAGTGACAAAGAAGCAGCACGAAGAATGGCTCTTCCATGGTACAGATGGATTTGCAGAGCTTTAGTTATCAATCCCTTGTGAGACACAAGGAAAACTCAGTTCAGGTCACTCCCATATAGCTATGCTGTTCATGTACAACTCATGTTAGCAAAAGAGCCTCGGTCTCACCCAGCAGGACTCTCTCTTCATCATCGTAAGCAGCTCTCACTTCATTTGGCTCTAAAAGAATGGCATTTAAAGGACAATATCTCCCACAGCACATCAGATTACCTTCTTTGGGGTTCTGCCTTCACACAACTCAACTTTCTGAAACAGACAAATAACACCCACAGCACCATTCAGGACTGTTCGCAAAGCTGCTAACACAAATCTGGTTTTTGCTCCTGCAAAAATTTATTCGAGCAGACAAGTCAAATTAAAAACAAAAACAAACAACTCGATGATCATTAGTGTATGTAACAAAACAAGACAGAATTAACCATATTTCCTGTTGCTTGGGATCAGGAAGAATTCTTCTCCAGAACAAAAGGGCTGTTAGGGTTATGGACATTTTCTCTCATTTCTGAATCATCAGGTATTACCCAGCCAGCAAACATTGCACTGACTGGGCAGTGACAACTGCTCTCATCATACTAATGACAATGTGCCAGCTTTCTTTTCTCCCATTTCATAAAACAAACGGATTTTTTACTACCTGCAGCCCGCAGCAGCACAGTTGACAAGCAAGATGAGACAGGAACACCCCTCCTGGCCCTCCCAAATATTCACCGTGAGTGAGCTCTGCGTGACTCCAGTTTTGACTGGCTGATGAAAGGCGGCAAAAAAAGAAGCTTAAACAAGTCTGTGTGCTGCTGAGGGTACAAAGCTGAAATGCTGGGTTAATAGCACAAAATAAAGCCAAATCTAAAAGGACATAGCAAAGATCCTAGTGTTGGGGAATTGTTTCAGTCCTGAGCAGCAGTGCAGCGCTCCCCTCAGCTCACCAGCTGATGCTCACTGTCATAGAATCACAGAATGGTTTTGGTTGGAAGAGACCTTTAAGATCATCCAGTTCCAACCCCCTTGCTATAGGCAGGGACACCTCCCTCTAGAGCAGGTTGCTCAAAGTCTCATCAAGGCCAAAGCCTGGCCTTGAATGCTTCAGCCCCTCGCCAGTGTGGCCCCTCCTCTGTGCTGCTGCTGCTCACATCTCTCCCCTATTGAACATCTCCCTGAGCTTACCGAGACACACTGTCAAAGCATCTTAAACAGGAACAGAAAAAGGCAGCACCTGGCGATTTAGTCTTTGAAACACAGAATTAACATAAGTTGATATTAACAGGACACGACCAGATCACACCCTGACATCTATAATTACACACCATGCCTCTTCTCATGCCCTGCTCCCATTTTTACTTCGTGCATCCTCCAGGAACGTGCCTTTCACTTCAGCAGAGGGATAACTCCAGAGATGCTGTGCACATCCAGACAGGCATAATGAAGCCAACCTTCGTTCCAGTAGCTCTTCTTTCCAGCACACCCCCTCCCACAGGAGCAGCTGAAAAACCATTCTAGAATTCAGATTATCCACTGAGCAACCCTGTTCCCTTCTGCAAAAGCACAGCAGCGTCTCACTGCTGCAGTCCCTTTCTGGGGGATTTTAAGACCAGGTTTCCCATTAGTGAACAGCGGAGGCTCTTAATTCCTGCAACACTTTGTTTCTTCCTCTCATACGCCAGGGCTGA